ACTCCAACCTTGAAGCCGCCTTGGACCCAAGGCAGGAACTTTACGGGTGAGCGGTGACTCGACGCGGAGCTCTCCCTCATAGCCGTCACAGACTTCATAGCTCTCGTCACCTGTATAGGCCCCAGTACCTTTTTCCCCTCATCATTTTCTACCAACTCCTTACCACGGAGCATAATGCAAGCTGCCAAATATCTATTGGTCTTCGTTTCCCTGATATCACACATAGCGTTGTACTCTTCGAACAACTCTTTGACGATGGCGTCCACCGACAAACTCTCGTGCTGCGCGTGCTTCTTGCTGCGCATTGGAGCGAATGAGACACTCGCATACCGGTACCTGATCGACAATCGTCGTCTTTGTCGTCGTCGTCTTCCCCCTCCTCCTCCTCCTCCTCCTCCTCCTCATCCTCCTCCTCCTCCTCCTCCTCCTCCTCCCCCTCCTCCTCCTCCTCCTCCTCCTCCCCTTCTTCCTGCCATCCCTACTCGCCCTATTGATCCCTCTGACCCCTCATTCCTCACCCCCTCGTCATCCTCGTCCTCACCCTCATCCTCGTCCTCACCCTCATCTCCTCAACACCATCCCATTCCTCCACCTTTTCATGGAAGTCCCGAGGACAAGGGCATCGATATCTGGCAGATCTCTTCGGCTCTCACTGCTTGCCGCCAGGCTTCTGCCATTGAGAGCTACCCGAAGGAGGAGGAGGAGGGGGAGCGTCAGGCGCAAGAGCAGGACTGGGGAATGCTGTGGCCTGCAGTACATCTGTGCTTGTGCCAAGCAAGATCCATCGTCCCTTGCGTCCTCACAAAGTCCTGGCATCGCGATCGCAATGGCGATGTGGCCATGGGGGATTCAGGAGGAGGAGGACGCATGGACAGTGTGAAGTATGGAGCATCCCCCCTCCGAGTACTATGAGACGCTCTGTAGGCAGAGTCCTCGAACCCTGCAGCGGGAAGCGCCGTCGCTCAAAGCCCGAAGCACTCACGAGAGTCTTCTTCAACTACACGTCGGTCGGAAGAAGTAGGTAGAAACATGAAGTAGGAAGGCGGGTTCCAGGTCCTCCCAGAGAATAACAAAACACAGCAATAGCATGTCGGTTCTTGAGGTAGGAAGGCGCTTGAAGTAGATTGGGATCTGGGCATCCAAAAATACCTACTTTCAACGACCGGCGTCTACGCGAACTCTTCAACATGATGGCAACCTAGGCCACCAAGAAAGAACGCTGATGCGTTTGAGTGTAGTCGCGCTGCGCCTAGCAGAATAGCAAATCCCGTGCGCTCATAAACAGCTAGCAGAAGATTGACCGGTGTGGGCTCAATCCACCCTGGTCGGACACGCACTATAGCACGCTGAAGCCGAGACGCGGGTGAAACTGACAGACATCATGATCATCAAACACTGCAAGTTCCACGGTCGGGAAATGTTGCTTGCCGTGTCGCCGCGCGTGTCGCTCACCTCCGCGGGACGGGAGGCTAGGCAAAGGCTCGGAATGTTGACGCCTCGAGACTGGCGAGGAGGAGGAGGAGGAGGAGGAAAGGCTCGGTACCTTGACACTCGAGGACCGTGACGTGGATAGCATGCCGCGCCGAAGCGGCCAGAACTGGCGGAGCGACACGCCGTCCAGAACCGACCGTGGGCCGAAGCTGCTCCGCGAGACCGCTGGACGCCCCAAGTGCGGCCGCCAGAGATCGCTGCCCGGATCTGGGCTTCTGCGGGCGCCCTGAGTGCAGTCGCCACGTGCGCGATCCGGTCGGGAACGCTAGCTTAGCCGCTAAGCGAGCGTTCCCGACCGGATAGGTTCGAGGTTTAATTTTTGAGGTTTAATTTGAAGGTTTAATGTTTGAGGCTAGTTTGCCTCCAAAACACACACTCAAGCTTGGCGTGTCGTGCGCGATGCGCTTGTCGCGAAGCTCTTCGATCCGAGCGCAGCCTCGGTGTGGGTCTCGCCTCGGGCCGCCAAGACGGTTGCCATGGGCACGAGGCGGGAACGCGAGCCCTGCGCCCCTTCTGGGGGCCGGGGAGGGCCGTGGCGGCGGCCCAGCGGAACGAGCTCCGCGGCCCTCTGGGGGCCTAGTGGAACGAGCCCTGAGGCTCGGTAGCCACGACGGCGGCCCAGTGGAACGAGCTCCGCGGCCCTCTGGGGGCCTAGTGGAACGAGCCCTGAGGCTCGGGAGCCACGACGGCGGCCCAGCGGAACGAGCCTTGCGGCCCTCTGGGGGCCTAGTGGAACGAGCCCTGAGGCTCGGGAGCCACGACGGCGGCCCAGTGGACGGGCCCTAGGGCCCTCTGGGGGCTCGACAGAGGCCAGGGGATGTACCGCTTCGGGGCCTCGGTGCAGCAAGCGTGGCGGCTGCTTGCCTGCGGGACGACGGACTGCCACATCTTGAGGCCTCGGATACATATGGCACCCCCGTCGCACAGCTCGATCTCTCAGTTCACCTGGCCATCAGTCGGAGGATGGCGTCGCAGACGGTGGATGCGACCCGCCCGCGCACGCACCGACGCAAAATCGATGATGGCGACAAGCATCGCTTCCAGACACCGGGAGCGGATTCAGCAGCAGCCCTGATCTGAAGGGAACTTTTGGACAGCGTGTCGCTCCGCCAGTTCTGGCCCACCACGCTTCGGCGCGACATGCTATCTACGTCACGGTCCTCGAGCGTCAACGTCCCGAGCCTTTCCTCCTCCTCCTCCTCCTTCTCCTCCTGCTCCTCCTCCTCTTCCTCCTCCTCCTCCTCCTCCTCCTCTCCTCGTTCCTCCTACATCCCTCCTCCTCCTCCTCATCTTCTCCTCCTCCCTCCTCCTACTCCCATCCTAATAATACCGTCCTACTCCTACTCCTCCTCATCTCCTCTACTACTTCCTACTCTCTCCTCCTCCCTCCCCCCTCTCCTCCTCCTCCTCCTCCTCCTCCTCCTCCTCCTCCTGGTCCTCGAGCGTCAACGTCCCGAGCCCTTCCGAGCCGCCCGCGCCGCGGAGCGGAGCGGCGCGCTGTCCGCTCGCATGGCGGGGCGTGCTGCCGGGGCCGCCGCACTCGGTCGGAGACGCTGGCGAGCAGCCGAAGCCACGGCCAGGAGGCGCATCCTCCTCCTTAGCCTCCTCCTCCTCCTGCTCCTCCTCCTCCTCATCCTCCTCTCTCCTCCTCCTCCTCCTCCTCCTCCTCCTCCTCCCCCCCCACCTCCTCCTCCACCTCCTCCTACTCCTCCTCCTACTCCTCCTCCAGGAGGCGCATCCTGTCAGAGAGCACGGTATGGTTATGGTTAAGGAGGCACGATTTGTCCACCCCAGCCCCACTGCGAGAATCATCGCAAGCAGAGTGCAACGCAGAAAGCACAACGCGGTAAGTTATGGTTGAGGAGGCACGATTTGCTCGCCCCAGTCCCATTGCGAGAATCATCGCAGGCCGAGTGCAGTTTCAGAACGATTTTCGCCCTAACGCTTCTCTCGTCCGTAATGCTGCATTTCTGCTCATCCCGCCATGCCACCAAGCGCACTTCTGGGGTAGGCAGAGATTAGGGAATAGTGAGCCTCCTTGGGGGGCTGGTACCGACGCTTAGGCCGCGGAGTAACGGAGATTTAGCGGGATTCATCGGGATTTAGCTGGATCGAGCCGGATTCAGCCGCATTGTGGACCTGGGCAAAGTCAGAATTTGACCTCTTAGGAATTGCATCCGAAATACACTCGACCAGGAGAATAAGGATGCGCGGTAAGGATACAAGGGCCTTAGAGCGCCATGTTGACGCTTTCCGTGCGGAGCGCAGCAGAATGCCGAAGGATGCCGAATACCGAAGGGGCAAGGATGCAAGGGTAGCCTTGGGAGGTTGCCCCATCCTTACTATCATGGTTGACTGTATGGCAAGGTCGGCATGGATACCACCAGCCGTTGCACACGGGCCTTCTCTTGGTGCGGCAGCCTGTCTCGCAGGCCGCTGGCGCGCCACGGTCCAGAAGCGCAATCAGGCCGCGGCTGCACGGCATCACGTTCCGTCGCTGCGCGCAGCTTGAAGGGTGCATTCAACCAGGATAGCAAGGATGCGCGATAAGGATGCAAGGGCCTTGGAGACATTGCGATGTTTTCCGAGCGGGGCGCGGTCAACAAAAGTGGCCAAGAGTGGACCGAGAAGGCAAGGATGCAAGGGTACCCTTGGGAAGGTTGCCCATCCTTACTATGTGGGTTGACTGTGCATTCAAATCACGACACAATCGTTCGAATAAGTGGCACAGGACAGGATGTTCAGGCCAGACCAAATCTGGGCGAGGCTGGCGCGCGGCCCACTACTTGTGCCGATCCTTCTCCAGATGACGAATCCACCGACCCCTTGTGGGTCTCTAGGCGTGTGAGATTTTATCCCCCCCCGACAATCCCCCCCAGGGACCCCAAACCGGCAATTCGACCCCCCCCCCCCTCGCCCGGCCGGACCCCGGACCGAACGCGCCACGGAGGAGCGGAGGGCCCCAAAACCGGCCAAGAAGGCACCAAAACGTCCCCCAGACGGTCCCAGGGGGCCACGAATCGCAGAAATATCGCCCTGGACGCCCACGATGGCCTCCAGGCGGCCTCCGAAGCTGCCAAGACGCCCCAAAAGGCCCCCAAGATGCGCCCAAAGAGGGTCCCAAGAAACAGAAATCGATCCATTCCCTTTCGAAAAACAAACATTTTGTCGCTTGTTCGCCTGTTCGGTTTTCACAAAGTCCCAGACGGGCAAAGAAACCTTCAATATCGCCCCCAGACGGCCACAGGGGCCCCCAAGAAGGGTCGAAGAGGGTCCAACAACAGCCCCCGAAGCCCCCAAGAGAACCCGAGAGGGCCCCCAGACGGCTCCAAGACGGAGCCCAGAGGGCACCTTTTCGAGCCTTCGGCCCCAAAACGTCCCCAGCCTGCCCCAAGAACAGCCCAAGAGGCCCTGAGGGACCCTCAAGAGAACCTCCAAGGCCTCCAAGAAGCCGCCAGAAAGCCCCCAAGAGGCCCAAAAACTTGGCCCAAGATGCCTCGAGGCGGCTGGATATGGCCTCCTGACAGGCCAAGATGTCACCAAAAGGCAACAAAAGAGCACCAATAGGTACGATAACAACAACGAAGCAACAAGAACGATGTCGAGCGCCGTGTCATGATTCGGAAAGCCTCGTGAAATGCAGTCCTGGAGGCGCAGTAATTTAAATAGGGGTAGGCGGATGTGGCGTAAGCCTACAGAATCCACGTCCGGAAGTGGCGTGCTGAGCGGCACCGTTTTCCGCGGATGCTGTATAATGCAGTGGATCCAATGTGTCCAATGTTTGCATAATTCCCACATATTGTATTGTGTTACATTATTATGTCTCCCCCCACCCCACCCCCAGCGCTACGCCACATCCACCGACCCAGGCTGACGACCCCCTCCTGGGGCTCAAAAACCTACCACAACCTCTGGAAATATATGATTTGGGCATGTTGGCCCTCTTGGGGGTCCAACAGGGCCTCCTGACGGCTCCAGATGTCCCCAAGACAAGCCAAGACGGCCCCAAGACGGCCCAAAACGTTCCCAAGACGGCCCAAGAGGGCACCAAAAGCACGCCCAAGAGCGCCTCCAGAGACCCGTACCACTGATATTTCGATTGTTGTTGAAGGATTTTAACGCTCTCGCTTATTTCGACTCTCAGAAGGCCCTGACGGCCCAAGCAGCCTCCAAAATGGCCCAAAAAGAGCCCAAGAAGTCTCCAAGAGGGCCCCCAAACGGGCTTAAAAACCTCCAACAGGGCCCAAAGATGCCCCAAAAACATCCAGGAGGCCGCCGAGACGGCCCAAGAGGACGACATGAGACTGCCAAGGGAGCCCCGAGAGGCCCCCAAGACGGCCCCCGCAGGGGCCAAACCGTGCAAGAACGTACCAACACGGCCCAAGACGGCCACGCAGGGGCCCCAAGAGGCCCCAAAGAAGCCTCCAAAAAGCCGCCAAAAGGCTCCCAAGAGGCCCCACAACGACTGGACTGTACGTGCTCCGGACGTGCACCCCGCGAAGCGAGAAGAATCCACGTCCAGAGGTGACGTGTTGCCGGAGGCAAGTCCGCGGAGGCAATGACGCAACGTATCCAATGTATCCAATGATTGCATAATTGCTACATCTTGTGTAGTGTTACATTATTATGTACCCCCCCAAACCCCCCCCCAGGGGCCACACCACTTCCGCCGACCCAAAGTGGCCCCGCCCTCGTGCGCCTCAAAAACCTACAGAATCCAACCACAACCTGTGGAAAATCTATGATTTGGGCCCCGTCGCCCTCTTGGGGCCCCACGAGAGCGCCAAGACGACCCCAAATGGCCTCTGAACGGGCCAAAACGGCCCCAAGACGGCCCGACATTGCCCCAAGAGAACCCAAGAAACCCCGAGGATGGCCCAAGAGGGCCCCTCGAGCGCCCACAACTGCGCCTCCAAAAGCCAAAATCATCCATGTTCCGACGGTTTTTTCAATGATTTTAGCGTTCTCGCTTTTTTTTGGCTCTCAGAGGCCCATGACGGCCCAAACAACTTCCAACATGGCCCCATAAAAGGCCCCAGAGGCTCCGAAGAGGGTCTCAAAACGGCCCAAGAGGGCTCCAAGACGCCCCGAAGAGGCCACCAAGACGGTCCAAGAGGGCCCCGAACGGCCCGAGAGGACTCCCAGAGAGACCCAAGGCGGCCGCGAGAGGCCTCCAGAAGGGCCTCCCAAGGGGCGAAACGGCGCAAAAGCGCCGCAAGACAGCCGAACACGCCCCCAAGAGGCCCCAAGAGGCACCCCAGAGGCCCCCAAGAGGCCCCAAGAAGCCCCCAAGAGGCCTCTTAAAATCATCAAGAAGCTTCCAAGAGGCCTCAAAAAAGCCTCCAAAAGGCAGCACAACGACTGGACAGTAATGTAGTTGTTCCCCTCTGGGCGAACCGCGGTGCAGCGCCAGCCAGCTGGAAATTTGTCACGGCGGCGCCCATGATTAGAGCCGGCGCTTGAAGGGAGGAAATCCACGTCCGGAAGTGACGTGCTCAGCGGCAGCGTTTTCCGCGGATGCTGTAATGCAACGTATCCATTGCATCACAGAGCTGCATAATTGCTACACGTTGCCTTGTGTTACATGATTATGTCTCCCCCCTGACCCCCCAGGGGCTACGCCACATCCATCGACCCAACCTGGCGAACCACTTTGGGGGCCCCAAGACCTACCAAAACCTATGTAACATCTATGATTTCGGCTGCTTGGGCCTCTTGGGGGGCCACGAGGGCGTGAGGACGGCTCAAGATGGCCTCTGTGCAAGCCAAGACGGCCCAAGATGGCCCCAAGGGGGCCCAACAAGGCTCCAAGACGGCCCAAGACGGCCCCAATGGGACTCTCAAGAGCGCCTCCAGAAGTCCAAATCTTTGATTTTCCTAGGGTTTTTGAAGATTTCAGCGTTCCCGCCTATTTCGACTCTTAGAAATCCAAGACGGCCGAAACAGCCTCCGAACGGCCCCCAAACGACCCAAGACGCCCTCAAGAGAGCCGCAGAACGGTCCAAGAGGGCCCCCAGACAGCCCAAAGAGGCAGCCGAGATGCCCCAAGAGGCCCCCAAGACGGCCCAAGAGTACCCCAAGACAGTCTCCGAAGGGACCAGACAGCGCAATAGCGCCCCCAAGACGCCCACACGGGGCTCCGAGAGGTCCCCAAGAGGCCTCCCAGAGGCCCCCAAGAGGCCTCCCAGACGCCCCCGCGAGGACCCAAGAGGCCCCAAAGAGGCCTCCACGGGGCCCCCAAGAAGTTCCCAGAGTCTCCACAACGACTGGACTGTACGTGCTCCAGACGTGCACCCCGCGAAGCGAGAGGAATCTACTCCTCGGGTGCTGGGGAACGTAAGCGTCATCCGCACCACAGGGTACCCTGTCTACAAATATCCTTCCTCCTCCTCCTCCTGTGCTTTTTCCTCTTCCTCCTCCTCCTCCTCTTTCTCCTCCTCCTCCTCCTCCTCCTCCTCCTCCTCCTCCTCCTCCTCCTCCTCTTCGTCCTCGTCCTCGTCCTCCTCCTCCTCCTCGTCCTCCTCTTCCTCCCTCTCCTCCTCAAACCACACATACTATCCCTGGGGGAACAACAACATACCAATACCGCTGCTCCACAGACCTCGCCAAGGGCGCGTTCTGACCAGAATCTGGAAGCGAATCCCGCCGCGGCGACGAGGGAACGGCAGCGGCACCGGCAGACCCACCCATCGTCAGGACTTCTCCCTTCCCTCCCCCCCCCCTCCTCGCACCTGCTGTCTGGCACCAGATTGGTCACCACCTCCTGGAGCGAGGCGTTCAGCAAGCACGGAAACCTGAGGGACGTCGTGGTGCCGGAAATCCGACGGGCGCTCCGCAACTCGGCCGCGGCGTGCTGCGAGGCTGCGGCCGACTGCGGTGGACAGCCCACCGCCAGTCTTCCACTCTGAAGGGGCCCGGGGACACACGAATGAATAGACACAAATATTGTCCCATAATTTCTGGAGTGTCGTCTTTCCCCCCACTTCCCATGTTTTCCCATGTTTTCTTTGCAGTCGACGATTGCTTGTGTCTGCGTGTTTTTTCACAACCCTCCTTGGTTGGGTATTCGGTTTGGATAAAGCACTGCGGCCGCGTCTTCTCCTTCTCCTCCTCCCGCCTCCCGCCTCCCGCCTGGAGCGTACCTCTTGTGTGTGCATCTTGCCTGCGTTACCTCTTGTGTGTGTATCTTGCCTAGGGGGCTGCGATTTGCGAAACTGTCGCCATTTTCGAGAGCTGCTGTGGGGGGGACAACATACTGGGTAGCAGCCGCGGACCCAAACTAGACCTCGCCACCCCTGAGGGGCTGCGATTTGCGAAACTGTCGCCACTTTCGAGGGCTGCTTGGGGGGACAGCATAGTGGATAGCCGCCACGGACCCAAATTTGACCTCGCCATCCCTGGGGGGCTGCGATTTGCGAAGCTGTCGCCACTTTCGAGGGCTGCTTGGGGGCAGCATAGTGGGTGGTAGCCGCTGCGGATGTAAATTAGACCTCGCCATCCCTGGGGGGCTGCGATTTGCGAAACTGACGCCACTTTCGAAAGCTGCTTCGGGGAACAGCATAGTGGGTAGCCGCCGCAGGTCCAAATTAGACCTCGCCATCCCTGGGGGGCTGCGATTTGCAAAGCTGTCGCCACTTTCGAGCGCTGCTTGAGGGGGCAGTATAGTGGGTGACCTCGTCATCCCTGGGGGGCTGCGATTTGCGAAACTGTCGCCTCTTTCGAGGGCTGCTTGGGGGGCCAGCATAGCGATCTGCGAAACTGTCGCCACTTTCGAGGGCTGCTGGGGGGCCCAGCGGAGTGAGGCACCGCGCAGATCTGAGCGAGACCTCGCCGCCCCTGGGGGGCTGCGATGTGCGAAACTGTCGCCACTTTCGAGGGCTGCTGGCGGGCCCCGCGGAGTGAGACACCGCGCAGATCTGAGCAGGACCTCGCCGTCCTTGGGGGACCTCGCCGTCGCTACTTTCGAAGGCTGGTGGCGGGTCCAGCGGAGTGAGGCGCCATGCAGATCTGAGCGAGACCTCGCAATTCCTGGGGGGGCTGCGAGCCTCACGAATGCCGCTTGCAGAAGTATATGTGCCCATGTCACGTCATCACCTCCGTATAACGTCTCCCAAGCTACTCATGCCCAACATTGCGCAGGGGTTGGGTACGTCGCCAGGGTTTTTTTGTTCCCCCCCCCTGACTTGCTCCAGCTCCCCTCTTCCCCCCTTCCCCCCTTCCCCTCGCATGCTGGGACTCTCGCCGCCGCTTTCCCTTCCCTCTCCCCCCTCCCCCCCCCTTTTCGGGGGCACGCAAACATCGATTAGCGGTCCATGGATTTGGCGCGCGGTCGCCAAATCCATGGATCGGGGGAGGTGCCCTGCCGCCTCGCTCGGCGGCGGAAATCCGCGATGTCCCCATGGAAACGGGGCCCGTCGCTAAGCCACGCCCCCTTGATCCATGTTTGCGACCGCCCGACTCTCGCCGACGCTTTCCCTTCCCTCTCCCCCCTTCCCCCCGCCCTCGCCCTGCCCCCCCTTCTTCAGCGTTCCCTCTGGAGAGCCACCCTCCGCCGCCCCCCCTTCCCTCTCCCCCCTTCCCCCCCTGTCGTCGTCGCTGCTCTGCCCCCCCCCCCTCGCCCTGCCCTCTGCTTCCCTTCCCTCCCTCTCCCTTCCCTCTCCCTCTCCCTCCCTCTCCCTTCCCTCTCCCTTCCCTTCCCTGTCGTCGTCTCTGCTCTCCCCCCCTCTCCCTTCCCTCTCCCCCCTCCCCCTGCTTCCCCCTCTCTCTCTCCCCCCTCCCCCCTCTGCATCAGCACGGGGGGACGCATCGCCCTGGAGTCACTACTCGGCCAAAGGGGCGCCGACATGCCTGCCAGGAGGCGGGGAAAGAGGGCACGGTGACGGCAACGACGAGGACAAGGGCGACGACGACCACGACGCTGCTGCTGCTGCAGGTGATGATGATGATGATGATGATGATGATGATGATGATGATGATGATGATGATGATGATGATGATGATGATGATGATGATGATGATGATGATGATGATGATGATGATGATGATGATGATAGCGCGATCCCCTGGGAAACGGAAGGTCGAGGTAGCCACATGCAAGCAGCCTGCAGCCTCTACGCCAGCAGCTGGCGCGCCCCCAGCCACGGCCCCACGCCAGCGCCCTCTGCCGCGGCCAACAGAAGGTCGGCCATCCGGGCCGTCAAGGCACCTGACAACCGCTCCGAGAGCTTCCGCGCGAAGTCGCTGCCCAGGCGCCCGCTCGCCTCGCCAGGGAGCACGGCAACGCGGCGTGCCGCGGCTGCCATGTCCGCGACGAAGCGCTGCGCCTGTGGGCCGAGCCGCCCCTCGGCCTCCACAGCGAAGGGCACGACGGCGTCGCCATAACGCTCCCGCTTGTGCCTCTCAGCGCCAATGGCGGCATGGCCGATCGTGCGTGCTCCTGGCCCCGAGGGATCGGCGGAGCGGACCGTAACGTCCACCCAGACTGGCACTGGCATGCCTGGCCAACTGACCACCAGGTCCAAGCGGGCCTCGCGCAGCTCGCCGCCAGCCTCCTGCTGGTAAAGTTCTGGCACGCAGCGTTCCTGGTCGGCGTAACCGCCGTGCGATGAGATCCACTCCGCCAGGATCCGCACGGTCTCGTTGTGCAGCCGTATGCGGTGTGCCCAAACAGGGCACTGCAAGGCATGCAAGCCCGCGACGTCGAGGGGCCGCCCACAGCACGTGCCCGAGCGCTCGTCGCCGGCGGCGCCCGAATAACGGAAGGCGCACGCCACCGGGGCGCTCAGCAAGTTGAGGAGAAGGCGGCGCCGGAACATGACCACGAAAGCGGCGTCGGTGAGCGCCGTCTCCCCCTCGCGCAGAAAACCATTCCAGAAGGCACCGGCTCCGAGCCCACCGCCGGCCAGCAGGCGTGCCTGGCGCGCTGCTGACAGCCGGCCCCAGAGGCGCGTCGCCGCGAGGGCGGCGAGGCCGCGGTACGCCCTCGCGGCAAGCCGCCGCCGACCGCCCCAGTCATGCCCCTCCGTAGCAGGGTCCTGGCTCGCGAGCAGCAGGGGCATATGGCCGCCAGGGGCATCGTCTACCTCGGCGTGGAAGTCAAACACCGCCTCCGCGGACAGCTCGGTAACCCAGGGGCCGGCTCGCCCGGGGCAGAGCTGAAGGACGCAGCTGACGAGCTCGTCCCGCGCACGGGCAGCGAGGGGTGCGTCGGGGTGCACCGCGGCAGGGCGCCCAAGCCGGGACGCGACCTCAGTCACATCAGCATGCGGCAAATCAGCCGGCCGGATGCCGAAGCCATCGAGGAAGGTGTGCACGCCCGCGATGGCCATGCTGTCGAGGTCGAGGCGCTGCGCCGCGAGCGCCGATGATGATGATGATGATGATGATGATGATGATGATGATGGTGATGATGATGATGATGATGATGATGATGATGATGATGATGATGATGATGATGATGATGATGATGATGATGACGATGACGATGACGATGACGATGACGATGACGATGATGATGCGATGATGATGATGCTGATGATGCTGATGATGCTGATGATGCTGATGATGCTGATGATGCTGATGATGATGATGCGGATGATGACCATGACGGCTATGATGATAGTGATGATAATGATGATTGATGATGAGGTTGATGATGATTGATGATGATGGTGATGATTATACTGATGATGACGAAATTATCTTCTCTCCTCTCCCCATTAGATGTCCCTGGCACGAGCTTGAGAGCGAAATCAGATCTCGCATACCTGGACATCGGGCCGTGGCCGGCCGAAAATGCTCACGTCCCTAGGAGATTCTCTTAGCCGAGAGCCGCGGTACACTCTCGGAACGACACTTAATGCCAAGAGCGTTACGAGAAAAGCTCGCTCTGGCACCGACCCCGTAGATGCTCCACCGCTAATCGACCTAGTGGGCCCTAGAGGCGCTCTACATTCAGGGCGCTCAAGGCTGGTCCCCAAGCTGCCCCCCACACCCGCGCTACACCTCAGAGCCCGCGGAGCGAGGGCCGCAATCGTCGAAGCCCCCCTGCGCCCGTCGACCTTGCGCGCCCAGCCCCGCGACCGCCGTGGCCGCGTGGGCCGCAAGCCTCTGGCAAGCCTGAGCCGCCGTCGCTGCCGACGCCCCCAGCCACACCTCGACGCCAATGTTAGGTCGGGCCTGTCCCCTACAGGGGGATTTTTGGACGAAGGATAAAACATGCGCAAGCAGTGCTCAAAAAAGATGCCTAAACACACGAACAAAAATAGCCCCCATACGATGCTTTGACTACTTTTGCATATCCCTCCTGTAGAGGGGCAGGCCCGACTTAACGCTAATGGTATGGCCCCTCTTGAGCCCGGGCCCCGGGGTGCCAGCCGCGCCTGCAGCTGCTCCACCTTCGAGGGCGCCCTCGAGCGCTGGTGCCAGGGAGGTGCAATTGTCGAGAGCCTCCGAGCACCCGCGATGAACTCGCGAGGCAAGATGCCCACGGAGATGAGCGCGTTGGCTCGCCCAAACGTTCGGCCAGATAGGCTCCAAAGGGACATTGGAAATCAGAGGGGGGTCGGGGGGGGCCTAGACGTGCAAGTCCAGCTGGGGCCCCTTCCCACCCGCCTTCCTGGCACGCGCTCTGCTCATCTCGTGGAGCCCCAAACGCTGCGAGCTGCTCCCAGGGGGGCAAACGGCCTGCAACGCCGCGGGCACGCACGACAGACGACAGCTTGTCCATGTGGCCGGCGATACCCGTGCGCACGACGCTCCCCTGGCTCGGCGGGCTCTGCCTCGGCCTGGCCGCTGGGCCCGCGCTGGGCTCCTCCCAAGGGCGCGCCGGCGCTGCTCGGCGGGCGCGGCCGCCCGTGCCCGGCGCCCGCCGCGCTCCGCTCGCCGTCGCGCGGACGTCCACTCCCGTTGCAATCGTCGACTTCGTGCGCGCTTGTCTGGCCAGGTGGTCCAGGATGGGTGCCTACCAAGCCACCCCAACCCCACCCGACGACCCGAATCTCGGGTTGGGGGGGGGAGTACGGGCTTCAGGTGTGTGTTCCAACCTTCCCCGTGACCCCCCCCCCCAACTGGCAATGGAGGGCAAATCGGGGCCTTCGGGTTGGGTTGGGGTGGTTTGGTGCGGAAGCCGGGCAAGGGCCGCTAAATCCGTGACTGCTCAAATCGACCTCCGGGAAGTTGTCTTCGTCCTCCCGGGAAGAAGCCCGTTGACTGATTTTTCCCTCTGGGAGGGCCGTTTTAGCAGCCAGGGCTTTAGCAACCCTCGCCCAGCCTCTCTGTACGCCGACGCTTCTTCCGGCCCTGCGCTGGGAACTGCACCGGGGAGCGGATCCCGGTGTATACGGGATCCTGGTGTATACATTTTCCGTTGCTTCCCTGGGGAAAAAAAACGGTGGGGAAGTATACACCACACCACCCCGACGTCGCCCCCGACCCTTAAAAAGTCGTGGGGGTGAGAAAACAACCCGCCACTGGTAATGCATATGTTCCAGTCTTAGCTGCCCCGATACGCAACACGCGACACGTAGCGCATTAATACGGAGCTCAACACGCAGACCGAACACGCAGGTCTGACGCGATACGCTCGCCCAAACGTGGTCCAATACATGGAGCCAGCACGCAGTGCATTGACGCGGACGTTTTGAACACGGCGCGCGCTGCGTATCCCAAACGGGCGTATCGAGACAACTAAGCTGGTAATCATTACCACCTTGGTTGTCTCGCAGACTGGAAGGCACAAGCTCCTGGCCATACTGTCTCGCAAACTGGTGTCATACATTACCAGGTAATGTATATGTTCCAGTTTGCGAGACAGCATGGCCAGGAACTTCCAGGCAGCGTGCCGCGACGGCGACCCAGGCGGCACGCTGCGGCCTGGCGGGCGGGCGGCGGGCTGCTCCGCTCCGCGCCGCGTGAGGCCAGGAGAGGCTCAGGACATTGACGCTCGAGGACCAGGAGGAGGACGAGGAGGAGGAGGAGGAGGAGGAGGAGGAGGAGGAGGAGGTGGAGCGTAGCCGAAGGAGCCCCACGTCCCACACTACTCTGACTCCCCCCCACGAGCCTTCACCACGCTGTTGTGGAGGGCTTGGAGGTCGAGGAGCCGACGCTGGCGCCCCTTTGTCGGGAGACGCACCGCCACACGGATGGCCTGAATAATAGACATAGCACGGGCAGGATCTGATCCGATCGAGCGGTGCACAGCCAATCGGCAAGCGTGATATAGATAAACACAAAACGCTGGCGACCCGAGGAGACCTAGCCGAAACCTGCACTTGCTTGGCAGCGGGGTCCGGCAGGCCAAGGAGGCCAGCCAGTGGAGCCGACGACACGACCCAAAGTAGTGGTCGACCGAGTCGCGGGTATCTTCACATCCCAGCACACATTGAGCACCACGCTGCATGCGCGAGTTGGTGGGCCAGGCTCCCAACCACGTCTTAATCAGGCAGATTCTCCAGGCTCCTGGGAGGGAGGCGAGCAGCGCTTGTAGCCGCTCCCATCCCCCCTCTTCAGGCGACGGAGGGGGCTCACCGTACCACTTCTGGAGGCGCCGTTCCAACGTCACGAAGATCGTGCGATCAAAAACTTTATTTTGAAGAATGGAGCCGAACACACGCTGCAATTTCGGACGCTTTTCCTGGGATCCAGCACCGAACGTCCGAAGAGCCTCACGCCCACCCGCCTCCCAAGACGGCCCACCCCTCTCACGCGGTCGCTGGGTCCCAGGGAAGCCTTCGGCGGCGTGGCCCATCAAGGCGGCAATGGCATCCATCGCCCAGAAAGGGGGGCTGAGGGACAGGGAGGAGGAGTCCAGAGCGGAGAGGGGCCCGTGGTGCTCTGCCACATGACGGAGACGGCGCAGCAGTGGCTGCCAAGAGCGCGGCAGAGTGACCAGCGCAAATCGCATCCGAGCTGCGGCGCACGTTGAGACCAAGGCCGAAATTGTCGGGCCACCAATGGCCTCAAGGCTGAGCCAGTCAGACATTCCCATGGCCGAGGCGGCACACCTCCAGTATCTCGAAAACCAGAAGCGTTCCGTGCGGCCGAGGGCCCATGGGAGGGGGAGGAACTGAGCTATGTACGACGCGCATGGGGCAAGTCTGGTGGCGTGGATGCGGAGGAGAGAGGCCGCATCAGCACCAGTCTTAGCGAGCTCCCGAACTCGAGAGCTCATCTTCACCCACGGCACGTCCCAAATAGCGGCGAGCGAGGCCCCAGGGCCCAAGACAAAGCCTAAATAGAGAAGAGCGTCGGCGACCTGAAAAGAGCCCCACTCAGGGGAAGCCCTACGCAATTGTTCCAAGACTCGAGCTTTACGGGTCTCAGAAAAGGGGCCGCCGAGAGGGGCAGCCTTACATTTCCTTGATTTAAAAAACGAGACCCGCTAGCAACTCAGCCCATCTAAAGGTTCTCACCATCTCTCTGAGGCCCTTCGCGGTGCGTACCAGCCCTCCCACATCATCAGCGCAGCACCTCACTACGCCGTGGAACCGACGCTGCACAGACATGTCCATGTCGAGGTAGAAGGGGTTCGACGCGATCACATACATCGTTCCAGACAGTGGGCACCCCTGAACCACGCCTGAGGAGGATCCAGTAGAGAAGGTCCCAAGAGCCCGAAGAGGCCGCGAAGCACGGGCTGAGGCCGTACAGGGTCTGGACACTCACCTGAAACCCGCGGGGCACCAAAGCGAGACCGACGTTCAGGCAGACCCAGCGCTGGGACACGGAGGGGGAGGCCTGGGCGAAGTCGAATGCGACGAGGAAGGGGCTCGAACTTGTCCGACTCCGAGTACCCCCAGCTGGCGATCCTAGTGAAGGTGTCGAGGTCCCGAACGTTTTCTAGATGCTGTCGACCCTGGATAAAGCCCCCCTGGATGGAGGCCCCCGCCTTCTTGACCCACGGACGGATCCCGAAGTTCAGAAGTGAGCTCACCAGTTTATTGGACGTATTCTTCAAGCCCAGGGGCCGCGTGTCGTTGCAGCGGCGAACGATCCTGGCTCCAGGGATTTCCTCATCGGCCGAGAGGTCCTTCGGGGGGAAGACGCCCAAGGAAGCTCCAAACCAGGAAGGAACCCCCCCGCCAGAGCACACATGGTAGAGCATCTCCATGATGACCCCAGGTCCCGCACCCACAGACTACGCACAGTAGTGGAGCCCATCAGGGCCAGGGGCAGCCTCCAGGACCTTGCCGAGGAAGGAGGTGAGGTGGCGGGTGCACGGCGGGGGGATGTCAGACGCGTCGACCTCAGAGCGGAAGCGAGATGCTTATTTTCCTGCCGCCTGGTGCAGCGGTGGATCGCGCTGGAAGATCTTCGCCCAGTGCTTGCCGAGGGCGCAGTTCCTCTCCTGCAGCGTGTGGGTGACGACGTCCTCGGCCAGCAGGTCATCTCCAGGGAGAAAGACTCCCGCAAGGCACCGTCGACGCCCGAAGGGTGACCACAGTCGAGCGCGCCGCTGCGCAGCACGGCGTTGAGCAGCGAGACGGCGGACATCAGCAGGCCGATCTGCAGCAGCTTGTGCACGTTGGAGCGCAGACGCCCGCTCCTGCGCTTCCTGCCGCTGTAGATCCGAGTGGAGGCCACGGAAGTCGCCTGCGTTCAGGAGAGTGACCACCCCGTCCTTGATGTCGAGCCAGGAGTGTGCGAGCCAAGGTCAAATCAGATCGCCACACCGCCCGAGCCACACTCCTCGCTATCATAGCCCTCTGTGACTTGCCATTCGATATACGCTGCAGCTGGTGGTTGCGGGCGAGGCGTCCTGCAATCTGCCGACACTTCGTGGCCACCCACAGCTTCTCCACAGGGGGCACGATGGACTGGATCCCGCACAGTTTCTCGCAATCCGCAACCACCTTGGCAAAGAGAGGGTCCTTGCAGATGCCCTGGGGGATCGGGCGATCACGTTTCGAAGGCTTGCACGAAGAGAACGTGAGTACAATCGGGACATGGTCGCTGGTGCGCTGTCGGTGAAATTCCCCAGGCCCACCGCGCACGTGCAACGACTGATGGAACTGGACCAGCAGCCAGGGAGGGCAAGCCACAAACGCTCGATCCACACGGTTAGCCGACTGGGTCCCTTGATGCCAGTTCGTCGGCCGCTCAACCTCCATCTCCGTCATGCCTCTCCAGATCTGGCGCCAGAGCGAGTCCCCAGGTCGGCCCTCCCTTCCACGGGTGGCCGCTGATCGCCTTGCAGATGGCACCGGGCAGGGCTGACCAGCACCTGCCGCTGAGGACCCAGTACACGTGGATGCCCGCATGGACGCTCCCAGCCCATTATCTCCCGTGGGGAGGCCGACATCCACAGGCGGCTCGACACTCTCAGGCGGCTCGACTCCGTTCGGAGGCCGCGCGCTGGAGAGTGGCCTCGCGCTGGAGGGCGAAGGTGGGGAGGGGCCCACGGTTGTGGAGGTCCTCAGTGAGCGACTCGGCTGTTGAGGTAGCCCAGACACAGCAGTAGAGCGATCAGCAGTAGCATCCGAGATGTTGAAGTCGCCAATCAAGATCTGGGCAAACCGCATCGGATGCCGAAGGGCATCATCTTGTTGAGCACGCGCCAGATCACGAAGCTGAAGAAGGTCGGCCTTGTCGATGCCGTAGTGGTGCACATTCCAGTGGAAGAAAGTGAAGCCCGTGGTGCGGTGTCGAATTTCCAAGACCAGGACGCGGCCAGGAACTTCGCGCACTCGACGAATAAGAAGGGAGTGCGATAAATGTTCAGGCAGAAGAGCAACCAGCCCACCCCCTATCTCAGCACCAGGGGGCTCTGAAACGAATCGCGAGAATGATCGCCCAGACCGCTGCAACACTTCGTCAACGGCAGCTTCGTTCCCACGAACTTCTTGAAGAGCAATGATGGAAGTGTCGGAGTAGAGAGAGTTGAGGATGGAGAGCTTGCGGTCGATGCCCTGGGACAGGTAGTGACAGAGGGGGAAGCAGTTCCAGGACACAAATCGCACTTCAGTAGCATTCATGACAGCGTTACCCATCCCACTTGACGGTGGGACGCAGGGAGAGATTATTGACCAAAGTGTCGAGCGGGCCCTTCTCCAATCGCATGTCGGCGAGCTTGGCGTTGTTCCAGCGGATCCTCGGCACCTCGACGGGGCCCACGACGATAGATACCAGGGGCTCCCACTGGTGGCTGACCACGCCCGAGTCACGGCCCCCAAAGAGGCGGGCACCGAGGTGCTCAGACAGAGCACGCACAACCCTCTTGACGGCCAGCTCCCTGGTCTGGGCGCGCCGATTCTTGTCGAGCCCGATGAAGAGCGGGACCGACCGACCAAGAGGAAGCTCGACGGCAAAGCGGCGCCATGTGCCGCGGTCATCCCGCAGTGCACCGAAGGCATGGCGGATGCGCGAGTCCAATGTTGCGTCCATGTCGCCTTTGAAGCGGAGGACAAAGCGTCGCGAGATGCCCGAGCCCTCCAGGTCGCATTGGTCGCGGATGGTGCACCCCGCCCCCTGGAGCCACGGGCCGATAGCGGCCTGGACCGCGCACGGGCAGATGAGGCAGCCCATGGGTCCACTCCAGGATGAGGCCACCCCTCGGCAGGAGGGGTCGCCGCGGCAGGCCCAGAAGGGGACAGGGCTCCAGCACGATGATGGAGTGGCGGGGTCGACCAGACCTGGGAGCCCAGGCTGCCAGCGGCGGCGCCACCGATGTCCCCCACCAGCGCCTGCGAGGGGAACGTGGGAGCTGCAGCCAGCCCCTCCAGGAGTGCCATGGTATCAGGTGCAGAGCCAGCACCGTGTGCACGGGCTTCGGCGCCCGTGGAGTGCTCACCGTAGCTGTTGCGAGACCGCTGGCCAGGAGTCGAACCCTGCCCCCGTCGATCACGTCGCGCAGCTCGCGGCGTGTGCAAGGGAGTCGAAGCAACAGACAAAGGAGACAACCTGCCAGAACCATCGTCCGACGGCGAGCGCCCTTGCATCCGTCTGCCAGGGGTGCCGTCACTCTTGACGCCCTTCTTGACTTTCCCATAATTATGTTATTTCTTCTCCTTCTTATCATTGTCCTTTTTCTCAATGCGATCTGGCATTCGCGGCGGGTGCCCAACTCCCGCGGCGAAGGCGAACTCTCGAGGCTGCGTCGCCGGGGAGCGGCTCACGCAACGGTGCGACGTAAGAAGCTGAGGTCTAGCCGCGGACTAGCGGCACCCACATGTTTCCCCTGGGAAACTAAAGCCTTGAGCCAAAATGGCTACGGAGGAGGAGGAGGAGGAGGAGGAGGAGGAAGAGGAGGAGAGCCGTCTGCCCGCTCGGGGTGGGATGGCCCCGCGCTGGCCCACGCGCGGGCGGCGGCAGCGAGGCCCGCCATGGGGGCCGCGCGGGGGAGAGGACCCCACCACAACCCCAGCCGCTGCGGCGGCCCTTGGCGGCGGCTGTCCGCGGCGGGCGGCGCTGGGCTGCAGCGGGCGGGGCGCCTGTCCTGCGGCCAGAGGGCGACCAACGGCCAAGCGCCCCGAGCCAGTTTGGCACAGGCGCGCGAGGCGCCGTCGTGGGCAGGCGAGGGCCTTCCTCCACGTGCTGAAGGCGCGCAGCTTGCTGGCCAATCACCATTCGAGCAATCTCTTTTTGACAATGTCGAAGTGGACCTGCAATTTGTGTGGGGCCAAGCACGGAGGGCGAGATTGGCATTGTCGAAGATCTCATTGCAATTAACCGATGAAGAAGCAGCAGCAGGCAGAGGCTCGGTGCCATAGAGAACAGCAGGCCAACCTGGACAAGGAGATCAATAGCATGATCGACAGGACTATGTTGTGTACTACGGGGTTTGCCCAACGACATCAGATGTTCGTGCCTACGCCAGAGCAGCCGAACGCATTGAGAGCGCACAAGACGATGTGGGAGAAGCTTCGCGCGACGGCTAAGGTGCTTCTTGAAGCGAAGAAGAACGGTACAAGGTTGCACAAACAGGAGCACGGACTTGCAGCTATGAAAACAACGTTCTGGTTCACCAAGCCTCCAGATGTCCAGCGACGCGAAGCTCTTGACGGCCTCAAGCGGACTAAGGAAAAGTTGGTATCACTGGAGAAGCAGTCGAGAGAGCTTGAGATTGACTTGATCTACGAGAGGCCGATGATCACTTACTACGAGGATTTGTTGACTGAGGCGGCAGCGCTGGGCTATGGTCAGGAAGAACCCTCGACATCTGGTGAAGGGCATGATCGACGCAAGCATTTACTGTCGATTCGAGTGGGCAGCGACGGAGATGACGAAGGAGTCTCTACTGGGACCGAGGCGCCACCACCACCACCACCTCCACCACCTCCGCCAGGACCTGCCCCTCAGGTCATGCCAGGTTCGAGCAGCAGCATGCCAAGTCTGCCGCGAGGATAACCTAGGGTTCCAGCTATGCCAATTTTTGATGGACACCACCTCAAGCCCAACGGGCATCGCAAGACGCCCCCAAGTCCGACAAGACTTCCTGGAGGAGCTCGAGATGATCCCGATGGAGGAGTGTGGGCACCTACTGCCACGCCAATTGCCAAGTCGGTGCAAGCGTTGAGCTCGGGGAAAGGGTCGCCTGATTCGAGGACCTCAATTATGCCGTTTTCTGTTGGTGAGGTATCAGGTCGCACGGGTCAGCCTCCTGGTCTTGCACAGCAGAGGTCAGCACAGCTACATCGAGGTCGAGTACTCCTATGTCTATGGCGGCCCAGCAGGCGACGCAAGCTGTTTATGATAATGCTGAGAGGACCACGGCAGAGAAGGAGCAGCCGCTACGTGGCGAGATGATGGGCTACTTCGCCAAACTACAAAAGGAGGCGGCGCTCAAGGACGAGGAGTTGGAAGATGCAAAGCGCAAGGTTGCACATGCTGATCAACGGATTCTTGGAGCTGAAAAATGTACAAGGCAGGTCGAGAGGAACGCGTGCATGGTTGCCGAGAAGTCGAAGCAGATGGCCGAGTTGGAAGTCGCCCACGTGGAAGATCAGGTCAGACAGCGTGCTGAGGTCAAGGAGAATGGAGAAGGAGAACACATTTATGGGGAAGTCGGCGAGCATCGCGAATACTTACGACAGGAGCATCTTCTCTTATCTGATCAGGCTCATGCCTTCAAGAGCTCCCAGGCGCGGTGGAATCTTCACGGAGAAAAGGAAGCTCAGAAGCTGGACGAGGCCCGAGCCACATTCGAGCAGCAGCTGCAGCAACAGAAGGAGAAGCTGGACGCCCACTATGCTGAGGCTTGGGTGGGGCTGGTTCGCAGGTCAGAAGAAGCTCAGCATCATTGCAAGGCTGGCGCGCGCGCGCGTCTGTTGCTGCTGCAAGAAGCAGCAGAAAAGACTAGGGAGTTGGAAGAGCAGATCGTCGCAGTGCGCAAGTCGGCATCTTCAGGAGGAGCGGACGTGGCTGGATACGCTCCTGCAGCTCAGTTACGTCAGCATCGAGTGTCTTACCCTTAATGGCCAGTCTCCTGATCGGTCGACCCCCCAAGCGCTGATTGAATCCGAAAGGTTGGACGACTTGATGTTCGAAGCAGAGTTAACCAGACGCAATGAACAGGAGGAAGACGCACCAGTTGAATATGAGGATCGCAGATGGACACAAACTATCCTTCTCCGCCGCCTCTCTTTCTCAGCGTCGCCTGGGCAGCGCTGGGTTGGCCCGAGGAGGGTCGATGAGATGCCCGCCGAGGAAGGTCGAGCGGAGGAACTGGACACACTTGAGCGAGGCCGTGACAGTCGGCAGTTCCAGGAGTGGCTACTGCAACAGCGGACCATACTCCAAGCGGGAGAGCAGCAAGTTGAAGTCGGCGCTCTGGCCAAGCAGGCCCCTCTCCCTCCGACGAGCACGAGCACGAACACGATTATGAACACCATGGACAGTGCCGGTGCAGTTGGCGCGATGCACCCAAGTTCCTTACCAGCGGTGTTTGACCTGGAGGCCATTGCGCAGTTGGAGAAGATCGCGGCCGAATATGAATTCAAGTGGGACGAAGACCAGGTTGGTATTATCTTGGAAGAACAGGCTGCCGAAGCTGTAAGGTTTGCTGCTGAGAAGGAACAGCGAGCTGAGGCGTTGGAGCACAATGCGTCGCTTCTTCACGGCGAGGCTGCCACGAGTTCGGGGTCTTGTTTACCATGCATTCCTGAGAGCACCTCCGCTTCAACGCAGGAGCCGCCCCTGGAGGCAGACGGGATCGAGTGCATCTCTACTGGCGCGCCTCAAGGCGAGCCCGCCGGCAGCACGACACCAGCCCATGCTGGCGATGACGGAGAGACGGACAGGAGCACCAAAAGCAAGATGCCAGCCAGGAAGTATGAGAGGGCGACAGTGCACATACTGTGGCCAGCCCCACCAGGAGGCCCTCCTCGAGAGGGGCAGTTGCCCGCGCGGGTGGAGAGTGGGAAGACTTAGTTGAAGTTGCTGATTCTCCGTCACAGCGCCAGGAAGGTCTCGAGGAGTCCCCAGAGTTACCACGAGAATTTGCAGTACCAGGAGGAGACGGTGATCTGGCAGTTGGTGCGAAAGGGGAAGAGGGAGTAGTTACTGGAGCGGTTCAGCACCTACCTTGACCTCAGACAACGAGGGGGAGCTTGTTCGGGCGGAGCTCCCACCTCTAGCACACACACACCGCGCCCTTTGCCAAGCTCACCGTCACATGCTCAGCGAGTTGTGGCTGGCTACGAAGTGGAGAGTATTTCATCGACCCCACTTGTCTGTCACAGTCATGATGAAGTTGGTACTATGACGGGGCCTTCCTTGGCTACTTCGCGACGGGGCCTTTCCTGCCGCGCACCGGCCATCGTGCATGTTGATCCTTCCCCTGCCAGGTCGGGTCCAACTATTTCACCGCCGAGCGGCACTGGCATGCGACAATCTACGAATCTATCACCCTTAAGTGGCCGAGGTGTACCCCTACCTATCAATTAGGAGATCCAGTTACGACGCTGGCACATCCACTTGAGACGGGGCGTTGGGCGTTTTCAGCTTCATGAACACACGAGGTTGGCGTTGGCATACTGTCGCCCCTGGTCTACCCCTGTGGATAAGGTCTATATTGTCTGTGATGGTTCGTTCTGGCCAAACGACCGTCTGCTTCCGGCATGGGCCTGCACATTTGTTTGTTCTGATTGGGAAGGCATCAAGTTCGAGGGCTTCTTCAGCGGCTGCACCAAAGACGGCGTTGCCCAAGAGGTGGAGGAGGGCATGGCCACTAGCGTTACGACGGGGACGGCAGGGGTGCTATGGGCTATGGTGTATGCTTTGCAGGTTCCGTCCGTCGTGGAGGTCATCTGTGACTGCCAGCCAGCTTTGGGGCGGGCTTCGTCAGGTTGCGCCCGAACGGAGCCTTTCGCGGTCCAGGCCGCGCACGTCTACGAGGCGATCTCTCGGGCGCTCCCACTACGCCTCTGCTGCACAGCAGGGCGCGGTGGCCATCCATGGGATGATATGACTGACGTGATCGCCAAGCACGCGAAGCAAGAGGCTCCCCCAGCGCTGCCCTTGCTTGCAGTTGCAGCCCTACGGCCGTTCAAGTGGTGGGACTGGGCGCCGCATCGGGATCTAGATGTTCAAGATTGTGTTGCTTTCCCACCGTTGGGAAGCGATGGGTTTGTAGATCAGCCGCGCCAACAGAGAGCACTCTACACGCTGCCTCAGGAGGAGACACGGGGCCACGCTCAGCATAATCTTGCGACGAGAGCGGCCACGCCTACAACGTGCAGAAAGCTAACTTAGGTGAAGTACCGTCGTCCGGTGAGTGGGTTCGCGGACAGTACCTTCGACTTCAATTTCAGGAAGCAGGGTTGCATATGGTCGGGCGTCAAGAGGCCCCGCCTCCTGCTGAACCTACGACCCGCGAAGGATTTTACATTTTGAGCTCAGGGCGAGGCCACATTCTTGGCACCACGTTGGTGGTGAGCATGGACCTTCCATGTGGTTCTGGACCTTCTGGGGGCAAGAACTTCAAGAAGAGCGACGTGAGAATCTTGCACCAGGACCCGAAGGTGTTGGTGACACGCGTTGTCACGCTTGGGATCCATGAGCTTGTTTATGTTACACATGCCCCGTGCCGGAAGCACGATTCCTTGAACTACGACGAATGGTGGGGTCAGTTGGAGATGTTGTTCCCAAGGTGGCCGCCCACACTGGTATTTGGCGATGCGAACGCAAAAATTGGAGTCAACCCTGCCATTGGCGAGGTGCACGGCTGCAGTGCTGGAAGCTGCCGCCCCAGTCAATGCAGCGCCGACATGACGATGGACCTGGGACTCGTCTGAGAAGCTGCGCAAGCTCACGCGACCTCTTAAGTGAAAACACACTTCATGAACACGACAGCGGTCATGCGCATGTTAGCATTGCTAAGGGCCAAAGCAGAATAGATTGCATGTTGACAAATCTGAAATACCACGACGCAGCCAAGGCGTTGTGGGCAGACTACAGTCTGGACAGATTTTTGGACGGCGAGGACCACCCCCCTGCGGTTGCACAGGTGAAGCTGGCCACGGCGAAAGCTCCACCACGGAGTGGTATGCGGACCAGATCCGCGGGCTTGAGCAGATAATTGATGGAGCTGCGCTGCCAGATTGGACGACGGATGCGAACGGCCACGTGGAGGCCACCAGCACGTTGACCAGGTCGGCGGCCACGGCGTGCTCTTCCAAGGACCGCCTGCGTTTAGTTCGAGGGTACGTCGCCCGCGCTACGTTGGAGCTTGTCCGCTTGAGGAGGTACGTCTCTAGAGCGAGGAGATGGCTTCCTCGTCGCACTGCCCAGCGACCTCCTTGGAAAGACTTGATCAATCACACCGCAGACCCTCTCTTCAACCCGCCACTGGACGTTGGTTGGTGCAACGCGGCCCCCAGGCTCAGGATGGCCTGCGAGTGCATCCGCACGGGGAGCCGGACCGCGGAAGAGTTTTCGAAAATGCTGGTAGTACGTCTTAGTTCGACATCTGGCACGGCGAGAAGGATGGTCACGCAGGACAGCAGGCAGCACTTGGACAGCCTGGGCAGGGAGATGGAGGAGCGCGCACGGCGTGGGGATAGTCACGGAGAACGGCGGCTACTTAAGGTCATGCTTCGACACGGTGGCTGCGCTGCAAAGACGGGACGATATCCGACACTACGTAATACTGATGGCAGGGCTGCAGAATCAGCGAAGGAAGCGGACTCCATGGTGATCGAGCACTTCTCTAAGGCTGAGGATGCTGAGATCATGCTCGGGGACGCTCTCATCGACAAGTACAACAGTCGCATGCACCACGAGGTGGGTTGCGTCGCGGTCGAGCCTGAGTCTCTAGTTCACACTTCGGCTGCGGCGAAACTCTTTTTCCGTGGCCAATAGGGGGCGGGCGGCCAGCATCGACGGTATCGGTGGAGACCTGTCGAGGACCTCACCGTCTGCTCTGGGGCGGCACTTTGCATCCATTTCTGTCGAGACGGCGATTCGTCAGCAAGAGCCTTTCACGTGGAAGCGCGGCATTGTATTCCCCCTGTTCAAGGGCTCTGGCGACTATTCAAGTCTGGAGTTCTATCGATCTATACTGCTGAATAACACAGTAAGCAAAGTATGGCACAAGTTTCCGAGGACTCAACTCAGCACATACATGGGCGCTTTGTTGCAGGATCCTCAGCGCGGAGGCCGAGAAGCCCGAGGGCCCTTGACGTCGGCGCACTTGGCCACGACCTACATACAGTGCACTCGAGCACAGGGCCGGGCAGCAGTTCTCTTGTGTGTCGATTTGGTTGCAGCCTTCTACACAGCGGTGAGGACTTCGGCCTCGCCAAGGATTGGCGACGAAGAGGACGACGAACAGATTCTACACGAGCACGACATTCCCTTGCGCATGGTTCCCCTGGTGTCTATCATTCTTTCGAGTCCAGCTGCACTTGGGGAGCTAGATGCGGTTCCTCACATGCTGGCTCTACTTGTTGAAGGACACCGCGACGCACACTTTGGCATTCCTGGATGTGCGGAGGTGGCCCGGTCACGGAGAGGCTCTCGGCCTGGTTCCTCGCTGGCTGACGCTATTTTGAATATCGCCTGCAGCCGCCCACTTCGGGACATCCACGAAAAGCTGGTTCGTCTTGGGCGCGAGCTACCGCTGACGCTGGATTTCGCGCAGCGGGACATATCAGTTGGCTTTCAGGTGCCTGCGTTAGTGGATGCCTCTTTTGTTGATGATGCCTTATTCCTGCAGTCTCCTGACCCCGATGATGATGTCCTTGATGCAGCTGGGGACATGGCGGATATTGTTCATGAGGCGATGTGTGTTATGGTCATCGGATGAACTACAAGAAGAACAAGACTGGTATCATGTTGATTCCTGGAGGCCAACAGCGCCCGAAGTTAGTGCAGCAGATCGAGCGGCCACCTGACCCCGTCCTCCTTTCTCCCAAGTGGGGCGTTCGAGTCCATGTTGACCCTGAATGCCAATATTTGGGGGACTTGTCTTGATGCCGTTTGGGGCCTCGGCCCAACGGTTGCTCGGCCCACGCAGAAGCAGCGGCCATCCTTTGAACCTATCAGGCGGGCGGTGTCAAAGTTTCGCCGGATGCCACTTCCATCGCGAATGTGTTTTACGGGCGTCCTAGCCAACGTGCACTTTTTCTACCAGGCCGAGACATGGGGTAGGCTTTCGGCCACCCAGCTCAAGAGACTCGATGGTCCTCGCACGCATTCGCACCGCATCGTGCAAGGCCGTACCCATCGCCAGGGATCTGGCCGCCATTGCTCTAACCTGGAGCTGCTTGCAGCTGCCCGTCGGCTTCCAATCGCTCTTGTTCCTCTAAGGCGCAGGCTGGTGTATTTCAGTGAGCTGTTCGTGAACGTCCCCACTGCGCTCTTCTTCTTGTGCGACCAGGTAGCGGGGCAGCAGGGATCTTGGTCCGCTGTGGCGTCAGAAGGTCTCGCGTGGCTTAGCAAGTTTGATGAAGTTCCATCTCTTAGGGCAGCTTGGACGTTGAGGCGCCGGTTCGGGTTTGCACAGGCTGATGGTCCTAAACTTCGGCGTGGGATACAGGCGGCTTGGGATAAGTTCTTGATCGCCGAGCTCGAGCAGATGCAGCATCAACCATGGGATAATACCTTAAAAACGTAGACGGGAAACGCACGCACTGCGGACGAGGAGGTCGCGCGCTACGCATGTCACGAATGTGGGGCCAACTTCGAGATGAAGGGCGCATGGCGCCACCATACCACCATGCATAATCCGATTGACGCTGCTCAGTTGCTGGCTCGAGGTGCTCAGCGTGGTGCGTGCGGGACAATGTTTGGCGACCGTTCTAATCTCTTGCGTCATCTCAGACGTCCAGGGAATACTTGTCAACTGGCTGATGGAGAATGATAACCAGCTGACGACGGAGGAGGCCGAGACGCTTCGACAAGACGACCTCCAACGAGAGCGACGCCTGGTGAAAGCAGGCTACAACTACCGACAAGGCACCAAGCATGCTCAACGAGAAGCACATTGGGGAAATCGAGGGGAACCGTACCACCCTCCCGTCCCTCCTGCAGTTCGGCTGACTCTTGAACCGATGCAGGCGTCGCTGTTAAGGACAAGAGCTGGTCTGTCTGGCAGCCCCACTTTTTATCACATGGGTGCGGCAGCGTCTCATCCTGGAGATCTTGTCAGTTGGAGTCAGCAGCTACGCAGAGAACAGACTACTACCATGAGATTGCAATCGGGCGACGTGATGGACAGATTCGGTACCAGCGAGAAGCTCTTTGATTTGATTGATGATATGTCTAATGGGAAAGTCTTGGCAGTCACTTTGGACATTCGGCTTCCTACCTGGCATCCTCAATGTTTCAGGGGTGCGGGTGATGTGTCCGGCATGATACTTCGTGACGTTGACCATCCTCTTGGGCGAATGCAGCTGTCGTCTGCAAAGCGAGGCAGGGTGAAGCGTGACAATGAGTTATTGCAGTTTTGTCGAAGATCTTTGAAATGGCTGGCCTCCTTGGAGCGCCCTCTGTTTCTCAGTGCGAGAATGAAGTGTTCACTCAGCTTGTTTTCTGTCTTGACTTCGTGCCGTCTTCCACGCGGCCTGTTCGGGTAGTGCATACTACCACTGTTGCTGGCGAGGACATCTCTTCGTCTAAATAGAATGGCACACTCAGCTTTGCAGCGAGGCTGAGAGGCTTGCAGAGGGTAGCCGCTTGGTTGCCCGCCGACCTGGATCAGGTTCAGTCGGCGCAGCTGCATGCTGGCCGCTGGCCGTGAATCGCGTGTTGGCGAGGGCCATCCTGTACGGATCGGAACCCTGGTAAGGAAGGAGGAGACCAGGGTGGGGGAGCTTGGCGTGCTGTTCTGGGTGGTGGGGGGGCTGGGGGCACAAGAGGGTTGAGGTGGGCGAAACACCCCGCTAGTACCTCCCAACCGCCCCACACCCAGGAGATTAGGCAGCGCGCTCGCCTCTACATCCCTCCATCATCATGTCGTCCTCCCTCATTTCCGTCCACTTCTACGCCTGCTGGTTCGAGCTCGACCAAGCCTCAGATGCTCATGTCCTTCATCTCCAAGATGTCAGTGTTTTTTTTTTAGGTTCGTTCCAGAGGCAGGTCGAGCTCGGGCACTTGGCCGACCTTGATGATGCACCACGCCCTCGAGGTCGAGGGAGCGTGGCGTGCTGCCCTGGGGTGAGGGGTGGCTGGGGGCACAGGAGGGTGTAGGTGGGTGAAATACCCCGCTAGTACCTCCCAGCCGCCCCCTCCCCAGGGACCACAGGCAGCCTGTCCCTTGCTCTTTCGACAGCGCCAGCTTCGATGGCGTCGTCTACTCCCCGCTCGACTCCTTCCTTTCTTTACGCATTACCTCATCCCTGCTCCTTTCCTCACTCACGAGCGGGGTGTCTAATGCTGTCTTCGCCATGTTCTGCGTGGCGCCTGTGCTGCAGCCTCCCCGACGGGGAGGCACTGTCTTGCCCGCCTGCAGATGCAGGCCCAGCGTACGCTTCAGGCCCGAGCGCCCAGCAGCTTGCCGAAGAAAGAAAAGGAGGAGGAGGAGGAGGAGGAGGAGGAGGAGGAGGAGCAGGAGCAGGAGCAGGAGCAGGAGCAGGAGGAGGAAAGGCTCGGGACGTTGACTCTCGGAGAAGCTCGGGGACTGGGGCGTGGACGGCTTGTCACGCCGAAGCGTGGCAAGCCAGAACCGGCGGCGCGACCCGCCACCCCAGAGCTCACGGCCGAGGGCCTCCCCCCGTAGGAGCCCCAGGGGGCCGCGCCATGTCCAGGCAGCCCTCGGGCACGAGCCGCCGAGGCTGCCCCGGCGGCCACGCGGCAGCAGCCGTCCTGCTCGTGCCTCGGCGCCGTTGGACTCCGCTGCCGGCGCGCGCCTCTGGATTCCGAGGCTGGTGCTCCGCGTACCGCGCACTGCCGTCCAAGACCCTGGCATGCTCTGACACTGGTCCACCACCCGGCCGCGCCTTTGGCGCGGAGGGGTCACCTGGTTCAGACCTTGGCGGCCACCACCGCCACCGCGGCTGGACCGGCGCACCCCTGCTCGCGCTGTGTGCGCCCTGGTGCCGCATAGCTTCAAGTGCTGGCAGCACTTGGTGCAGCGCGATCGGCCCCGCCCCCGCAGGATGCAAAGTCCGGGCCATGGCCACAAGAGCTCCTTGTTGTCTGAGCTCTGCGGCCCGCCTCCTGCATGCCGCAAACACGGCTGAAAGCGGAGAGGAACGAGCCCGCCGACCCGAGCATGGCCTGTAGACCAGGGCTCCAATCCCGAACATGGCCATCTCTTGAGCCACGATGGCTACGTACTCAATCTTCCTCCCCCTCCTCCTCGTCCTCCTCCTCAGCAGCAGAAGCTGCTCCATCTTCCTCACCCTCATCCTTCTCGTGTATTTGATGTTATGGTGTTGCTCACACCTCCTGCCCCTTCTCCTCCTCCTCCTCCTCCTGCCCCTCCTCCTCCTCCTCCTCCTCCTC